ACTTTTTGTCTATAAGCTGTCAACCCTAGATAATGTGTGCACACGTGTGAAAGAGAGCGGGGTGGAGGTAATAACATAATAATAAGTGCAACTCCTCGTAGTATCTTAGTTTGACTGTATGAGCTAGTAATTCAGAAATCTATGGTGAACAACCTTTTTATAAGGAAATTTAGGGAATGAACCCGTGTTCAAATTTGTTAAAACCAACTGTTCAGATTTTACAATATTTTATCATTTACAATATTTTATGACCTAGTAAGCTATTTTAGTGGATGGATGCGCAAAACATAAACTGCAGTGTTGAACTGAGGTGGTTTAAGAATTGTATTAATCTCAGCTCTTTTGTATTTGCAGGCCGTTTCAGTTGCAGCCGAGTCTAAACGGGAAGAAGAAAAAGCAAAGGGAGTGAATCCAGATAATGGAGGAGAAAATCCAGATATTGTTCCATTTGAAGACAATGAAGAAGAGGAAGAGGAAGAAAGTGATGAAGAGGAGGAGAGCTTTGGTCATGGTGTAGGGCCAGCTGGTCAAGGCAGGGGTAGGGGCAGAGGTATGATGTGGCCACCTCACATGCCCCTTGGGCGTGGAGCCCGACCCATACCTGGAATGCAGGGCTTTAACCCTGTAATGATGGGTGATGGGTTATCCTATGGGCCAGTTGCACCTGATGGTTTTGGTATGCCAGATCTTTTTGGTGTGGGACCCCGTGCTTTTGCACCATACGGTCCCAGGTTCTCTGGTGATTTTGGAGGTCCTCCAGCAGCCATGATGTTTCGAGGACGACCTTCTCAACCAGGGATGTTTCCAGGTGGTGGTTTTGGGATGATGATGAATCCTGGACGTGGTCCCTTCATGGGGGGGATGGGGGTTGCAGGGGCAAATCCGCCAAGAGGTGGTAGGCCGGTTAATATGCCTCCAATGTTTCCACCACCTCCACCCCTACCTCAGAACACAAACCGTCTTGCCAAAAGAGATCAAAGAGCTACTGATAGAAATGATAGGTATGGTTCTGGATCAGAGCAGGGTAAGAGTCAAGACATGCTCAGTCAAAGTGGTGCACCTGATGATGACACGCAGTATCAGCAAGGATACAAAGCCAACCAGGATGATCATCCTGCTGTCAACAACTTCCGGAATGATGACAGTGAAAGCGAGGATGAAGCACCTAGGAGGTCAAGACATGGAGAGGGGAAAAAGAAAAGGCGGGGCCCAGAAGATGTCAATACAAACTATAATCATTAGCTACCTTATGCTTTCACCAAGCACTCCATATTCATGATCCACTAACCAGGGTGCCAGTTTCTAATGCTTTGCTTGATAGATTGCTTTGTTTCAGAAAATATTTGAAACTCTGTTCACTAATCATATAATTTTTACATATGGTTCATTGGATATTTAGTATCAAACGTATCAGGATCAAGATGTTACTTTAGTATGCTTGGTGAATGTACACCTACATGTATTTGTAAAGGGATCGTATCATTCGAGTTCTCAATGAAAAAGGTCGGATTTATACCATACAGTTATGGAGGACTTGTTAACCAAGAATCCTGATCTTTGAATGCAACTGTTCAGCTTCTATCTCGATTAATGAACACAATAATTGTCTGATTTAATCCCTTATAATTAGGAATGACATGTAATGTATAACGGGTTTGATTCAAGTTAGAGTATCACATGTAAATAAAACGTTTATTTTAATTGTGTGAATCATACAATGTAATGAATTTAATCACTCAACGAAAAAATGTTAACGTTATTAAAATAAATGCCTAACCTGCTTTTCTAAGCTTGCTCATTGACTTAGTATATTATCTCAAATAGTTTATTTCATTCAAAGCATTTTTTTTTATACAAACAAAGATGCTTATATTAACAAGGACAATAATATTTTGACACGTTAGAGTACACCTATGCTTATATAACCCGCTTTAATAATAAATTATACGTACTAAAATTTTAAATTAATAAAATAAAATAAATATAATTTAAATATTATTGTTTTAAATTATTAAGTAAATGTTTTTTATTTGATGGACCACACACATAGAACTTTGTAAGCAATTATATTGAACATGGCTTTAGGAGAGCTTTTCGTACAAACTAATTGAATATACTTTTTTGCGTTAGTTTAGTTTGGTTCCTACGAACTAAACTAAAAATATTAATTCTACTACTTAATATTACATAAAAAAAATTAAGAAGTGAAATAATTCTTAGTTTTAGCTTTAACGTGAAATTGAAATAAGGAAAAAAAAATTGAATCTAACTTTAAAAATAAGTTGAGTTGGACCCATAACCAAAACATCCTATGAATTGTGGGTTTGTTGAGTTGACTAGCCAAAATTTTAAAAATAATAAACCTAAAAAAGTTATAAACAAAATTGAATGACTCACCACGTGCTGAAAAAAATATAAATCTTCTAATTAATATGAAAACAATGTTAAAATTACAAGAATATTAAACCCTCTCCTTGTACATAAAATGCCCCATTTTTAGATTATTGCTCATTACACCAAGATTATCGATTTAGTTCAATATCCTTCTTTTCACTTATGGGTGTTTCATTGAATTGTGATTATACGTACATTTTTCTTCCGGAATAAATAAAAGATAGAATAAAAAATAACTTCATTTTTTAATTATTATTAAATTAAAGAAAGTTCGTCTATTTAAAATTTTAAATATTGTTATGAGAAGATAAATGAATAGATATTTATATTTAAGAAATAATTTAATTTTTTATTTTTAAAAAAAGTAGATGATACACTCAATATCGACCAGTATAAACTTTTTTCGGATATATATATATATATATATATGAAAAAATTGCTGGCATGTGAAGCACATGGATATATGATTGTGCTTTCTAATTCTTACAACTTGAAAACAGCAAGGAGAAAAAAAATTCCTACGTTAGGTTTGGATTTTATGACTGCATGTTATTTATTTATTATGACGTTGTTTTTAACACAGTTACAAGTAAAAAAATTAAATAATTTAAAAAATAATTTATTTTACTCTCCAAAATAATTAAAACTACTTTTATGATTTATTTTTTATAAAAATAACATGTTATTATCAACTAACATATCTCATCAGAAAAAAAGTCTTGATATTGATTATTTTGGATATTATTGTAGAATTGAAACATATCCACACAAGATAAAGAAATAGTGACTTTTTGGTTTTCATTATAAACAAAATTGGTCAAGCTGATTTATTTCGGCCAGTCTTATATTTAGCTTGTAAAAAGTGGACTGTTTTAGTTATTAGGCATAAGAATTATTGGTTAATTTTGTTGTTCTATCCCTATATTATGATTATTTTGATTTGTATAATGATTGGTTAACGTGTACGTGAAGCAACCCATATAAACAAAATTGAAAAAAATAAGGTTTAATAGGTTCGGAGGCCCCTATATTTGCGGGTTCGTTTCACTTGGGTCCTCCAATTTTAGAAGTGATCAATTAGGTCCCTAATTTAACAAAATTGAGTCAATAATACCCTTTCCGTTAAATGCAAGGGAATCTGAATGCAAATTAAACAGGTGGCATGCTGAGGCATCATTTTATTTGCAGGTGGCAGAGTTTGAGCTTAATACGTGGCAATTTCTGCAATTTTTAATTTGCATTCAGATTCCCTTGCATTTAACGGAAAGGGTATTATTGACTCAATTTTGTTAAATTAGGGACCTAATTGATCACTTTTAAAATTGGAGGACCCAAGTGAAACGAACCCGCAAATATAGGGACCTCCGAACCTATTAAACCAAAAAATAATTGTACAAATGTTGTAACATTAATTTCATATCTTAATAATAAATTTGAAATAAACATAATATTATAACCACATCAAATAAATATATTAAAATTAAATTTTTCATGAAAAAAAACATAAAAATAAATTATTGTTTAAGCTAAAAAAAGACAACAATTAATTAATATTAAATGTAGATAATAGAACTTAGAAATTTAAATATGGAGTGAATGAATAACAGAATAAAATAAAATAAAAGAGTTTTTATCTAACTTAAAAATTAAAATATAATAATTATTTTAATGGACTATGTAAGTTAATCTGTTTTACCTCGTCATTGATTCACAATATATGTATTATACGTCACAAGAATCCACAATATTTAACTTGTCTCATATTTTTTCTTGTAGACGAACAAGTAAGTTCACATAACATATTTGCGTTACCATATCTAATTTAGTATTATATATATATATATATATTACATAATTTACAGGATAGAAATAGTAAAATCAATAATGTTTAAAAGATTAACTTTATGTATGCATATATAAAGTGAAAACAATAATTTTTACCATCATTACATCACTCCAATAATTATTTCGACCGTAATTATATTGTTTTTCATGATTACTATTTCTTTACTCTAAGTATTGATTTCACCATTCTCGTACTAGAACCATTATTCACATTGCTATCACTAACACTAAACACTACTTTGAATCTTGGGTGAATTAAAGTGAGCTGTTCACCTACCTGTCTTCTTTTCCTCCATTTATCTACCACTTTTCATTACAACTACATTGGATCACTTCACTGTTAAATCAATTTCATAACTATCAAATATGGAACAAATTTATTGGTTAAGTTCTTCTAGTTGCATTTTTTAAGGACTATAATGTGTGAACAATTTTTTTAATAATTTTTTTAAATAGACGATGTATTGTTATTTTATTGGTTCATATATTTGAAATAGTGAGCTCTTATCAAAATTTGTTAAAAAAATATTTTTCTTTTTTTAAACCTATTAATTGCTGGTTAAAATGTCATTCTTCCAAAGTATTGATCCTTCTTTAGTTTTGTCGTTTCATAAAAGATATATATATACTGACATCGTATTATAATTTTGTCAGTCTACTTTCTGAGAAATTACACTGCGAAAATGATTGATACAAACGTTTTCCATATCGTGAAAATTTCAACATATTTTTGCCGGTCCTACAATGATGCAAAGAAAACATTGACGTCGATATAGAAGAAATGCAGCAAAGTTGATGTGTATATATAGAGGAGGGAGATGAGATGTAATCATAGAGCAAGTGAGAACTGAAAAAGATTGTGAAATGGGTTGTATGCGTATATCAGTAGTAGCAGTGTTGTGTGCATTAGTGATGCATGGAGTGTCATGTGCAGATTTGAGTTCAACTTACTACGACACAACATGCCCTCTGCTATATTCCATTGTCTATGGAGTCATCAACCACACTTACATCACTGATCCCCGCATTGCTGCCAACCTCATCAGGCTTCATTTTCATGATTGCTTTGTTCAAGTACGTCACTGCTCATCTTTTTCAACAAATATCAACATGTACCTTCAATTTCAGGAATTTGGAGTATATTGAAATCTTGAAATTGCATTTGATTTTTGTGACAGGGTTGCGATGGATCAGTTTTGCTGAACAACAGCGATACTATAGAAAGCGAACAAGATGCAACTCCAAATCTCAATTCACTAAGGGGTTTTGATGTGGTGAATAACATCAAAACAGCGGTGGAAGATAGTTGTCCAGAGACAGTTTCTTGTGCTGATATTTTGGCTATTGCAGCTGAAGTAGGTTCTGTTCTGGTAAGTCCTTTTTCCAAACCCTAATGGTAAGTCCAGAGACAGTTTTTAACCGGAGTCTGTAAAGGCTTGACATTGTTGGTAGATCTCAGTTATCAATAAACATTAAGGTGAAGAATACATATCAGTCATGATATTTAACTTAAAATGCTCATTGAATCATCCAATGCAGAAGAATATGTCAGACAGTACACTTAACTATATGGTATTCCCAAAAATTGTACTTTTTCTTAAAGTCAAAATCCTTAAAACTGTTTGTTAGCTAAAAGTATATCTACCAACATTTATGGCTGTCATAAGATTTTCTCTTAAAGTGGTTAAACTTTTGCGTTTGACAGGGAGGAGGTCCATCATGGCCAGTTCTACTAGGAAGAAGGGATAGCTTAACAGCAAACAAAACCCTTGCTGAAACAAACCTTCCAGCACCACACTTCACAGTTTATCAACTTCAACAATCTTTTGCTGCTCAAGGTCTCAACACCACTGATTTAGTTTCACTCTCAGGTACTCTACAAAATTCATATTTTCTCACAGATTGAAAATTTAGAAAGTTATAAATGCTTGAGATACTTTTGTGAACTAAATTCGGTATCATGGTCTATTTAAAACCTTAAACTTATTACACTTGCCATTTAACATTAATTTTTCCAAAGTCCAGGTTATTTATGAAGCATTAATGTATGAACAGGTGCACATACGTTTGGACAAGCACACTGCAAAAATTTCATCAACAGATTATACAATTTCAACTACACTGGAAGTGCTGATCCAACTCTGAATAGAACTTACTTGGAAGCATTGAGTAAGAAATGCCCAGTAGATGCTACTGAGGATAACCTCGCCGATTTGGATCTGATCACTCCTAATCAATTCGATAACAAATACTACTCCAATCTTCAGTACCAGAATGGCCTGCTTCAGAGCGACCAAGAACTCTTCTCCAGTTCAGATGCCGATACCATTGACCTTGTGAATAGCTTCAGCAGTGACCAAAGTGTTTTCTTTGAGAACTTTGTAGTTTCAATGATAAAAATGGGTAGTATTTCAGTGCTGACAGAAGATGAAGGAGAAATTCGGTTGCAGTGTAATTTGGTGAATGAAGACTCATCTGGTTTAGTTGGTGTGGCATCCAAGGCTCCAAAACAGAAGCTCGCAGCATAGTTAAGCTGATGGGAATGTGCTGTAAAGGCAAAAGGTTGTAAATGTAGTGTGCATGGAAAAGCTATTTTGTCATGTACCTCTTGCCCTACCTTTTCTTTCTCGTCTTGCTTGCTTTCTTTTCATGGCTTTCTCCTTATGCTTGTTTCTCTTTTTCTTTTATTCTTTGTTTTCTATGTATGGTTTGGGACAATCCTTTTACATTTTTTGATAAATTTATGATTATGAATAAAATCCACTTTGATGAATCTCATTATTCCATCTTTCTCATTTCTCGAGTTTATAAAGTTTGCTGTTTTATATTCTTTTAGGCTTCATGATATGCTTATGCAAGTATATAAGCATGGGAGGGTTTTTATGTTAAGTGTCATCGCACAGAAAAAAATGATAATTCTTAGCATGAGGAGATCTAAAGCTCAATTTAATTTCGATGATGTTCATGTTAAGCATGCTTGGGATGGAGCTTCGTAATAGCTTACATGGTCCTTTAACGGATTTTTGTATTATTAGGGAGGTTTTAGTTATGGACTAATGTTCCAATTACCTTGATAGGGTGCTCAAGCTATGCATCGCTTTTCACTACCTATCAACCAGTCTAACTAGAAACATCAGAGCGCATGTACGGATAACCTTTTATGCCAACAACTTTAAAGCAAAACCAATCCAAATGTATCCCACACAATTCAGATTTCTAATTCATAACCATAAATTCAATAAAAAGTGCATAAATGTATAGAAATGAAAAATATACCAAATCATGATTGATTAAAAATTCAGAAAATGATAGCCCTATGGGCCCTGCATGAATATACACCAAGGGTGTTGCTCCCTCCACCACCCCAAGTGCTTCTACACCTTCCCACTATTTTTTTTTATTTCAAAAATACTCTACATCTCCCCACTGTTTTCTTTTATTCCAAAAGTACCCTACCCCTCCCCAGTATCTTCAACAATCTTTCTCTTTCTCTCTCTGCATTAATGGATCATTCATATGACTTAGATTTAAACTTAAATATAAAATTAAGAGGAAATGTCAATATTAGTGCTTCTACCACTTTCATTTTATAAACTTAAAAATTAGATGCAAATACAAAATAATAAACATAATAATATTAATAGTAAATAATATATTATTATTATTATTATTATATACTAACTTTATAATGACGAAAGAACTAAAGAAATTCCAAATCTTTAACAAATAACTTTTCTTTTATATTTTAAGTATTTAATAATATTTTTATATTATTTATCTAATAAATTAAATACTTTATTCAGGTTATTTGACTCAAACATGTCGGTAAGTTAAAACATAATATGATGTTAAAAATTATAGATATTAAATGTAAAAAAAAACACACACATATATAAACATTTTTCTAGAAATTTAGAACAAAATTTTACCATTTATTAAGTAATTTGAAGAAAAAAAATATATTGAACAGTGAAAATAAGATTAAATCAAACTTATTTAAAGGAAAGTGTAAATAAAATTTTGCAATAAAAGAAAATAGTAGAGAGGTGTAGAATATTTTTGGAATAAAAAAAATAGTGGGGAGGTGCAGGAGCACTTGGGGTGGTGGAGGGAGCAACACCCATACACCAATATCCCTAGTGGGCTGCATGTACAAGATACTTGCTAAAATACTAGCCAACAAACTTAGAGAGTTGCTCCTTCCACCACCACCAACCGTTCCCTGCACCTCCCCATACCTTATTTGTCCTTCTATAAAACGGATGTCAACATCCGTTTCACCTTCAACGAATGTTGACATCCGTAACATCCCTTTACATATTTTATATTTTAGTTTATTATTTTTATTTAAAAAAAAAAAACTTCAACGGATGTGGCCATATCCGTTAACGGATGTGCCACATCCGTTTAATAGATTTTTAAAAAGTTTTTTATTTATTATTTAAATAATAATATATAAATTAAAATAATAATTATTATTTTATTAAATAAAATAAAATTAATTTATAAATAATTAAATAATAATTTTTAAAAAATTAAATAATATTTATATATTAATTTAAAATATAAAAAATTAAAAAACTAAAAACTAAAAAACAAAAAAAAGCAACGGATGTCGCCACATCCGTTAACGGATGTGCCACATCCGTACATCCGTTAACGGATGTGGCACATCCGTTTTAATATGTTTATAACAAATTTTTTAATTATTATTTAAATAATAATACATAAATTAAAAGTAATAATAATTATTTTATTAAATAAAATAAAATTAATTTATAAATAATTAAGTAATAATTTTAAAATAATTAAATTATATTTATATATTAATTTAAAACAAAAAAAAATAAAAAACTAAACTAGAAAACAAAAAAGCAACGGATGCCGCCACATCCATTAACGGATGTGGCACATCCGTTTTAATATATTTATAATAAATTTTTTAATTATTATTTAAATACTAATACATAAATTAAAATTAATAATATTTATTTTATTAAATAAAATAAAATTAATTTATAAATAATTAAGTAATAATTTTAAAATAATTAAATAATATTTATATATTAATTTAAAACAAAAAAAAATAAAAAAACTAAAAACTAAAAACCAAAAAAAGGTAACGGATGTCGCCACATCCGTTAAAGGATGTAGCACGTCCGTGGAAGAATTTTTTCTTCAACGAATGTTGACATCCGTTGAAAAAAAAAGGTGAGGGTGTAAGATATTTTAAAATATAAAGGATAGTTTTGAAATTTTAAAAAAATATGGTAGTGCAGGGAGCAAAGTGGGGTGGTGTAGGGAGTAACCCTCTATACAAACTTAAGCTAGTTCTACCCCACATTATTGACTGCGCTTTTGTTAAGGGTAGAGGATTACTTCATTGTGTTTTAGTTGCTAATGAAGTAATTGAGGATGCTAGACAGAATGCAAAGCAGTGCGTAATAATTAAATGGGATTTTGAAAAAGGCTTATGATTGGTGAAGTGGTGAAGTGGGACTTTCTTTTTTATATGATAGCTATAGATTGGGTTTTTGTACTAGGTGGATAAATTGGATCATCTACAATTTCAATCCTTGTCAATGGTAGTCCAATTCAAGAATTTCAATCCTTGACGCTTTTTTTGTTTCTAATAGTGGCGGAAGGGCTGAATGAAATAGTTGCACAAACAAACAAGAAGCAACTATTTGAAGGAATATCAAAAAGGATGAAACAAATAAAAGTTAATGTGTTACAATTTACCAACCACACTTTGTTCTTTTTGTAAAACTTGTGTAAAGAACATAGTGTTCATATAGAGTATCTTGAGGTGTTGTTAGAAGTCCACATCGACAAAAGATAAAATCTATTTTTAGTATATAAACGAGAGCAAACTTTACCTTATAAACTGATTTTTTGAAGTTGAGTTAGGTTTAAAATTCATTTTTTAACAGGTGCTATGAACTTGCCTTATATCTTAGGATGAATTTTCATAAGAGTGAACTAGGGAGCATAGGTATAGTGGAAGATGAGTTAAATAGAAGCTCCATTATTTTGGATTGTGGTGTGACGAAGATACCATTGAAGTACATAGAAACATGTGAAGGAGGAAAGAAGAAACAATTCTTGGAGCAAATAGTGAACAAGATTACGAATAAATTATTGTGAGTAGAGTGTTTACTTAGATCTTTTCAAACTGCTATTCCACTTTACTATCTCTTTTTTTAAAATATCAATCTGTGTTGGTGAACACATCATGAGAAAACAAAGAAAACTTTTATCTCTTTCTTTAAAATATCAATATGTGTTTGTGAACACATTATGAGAAAACAAAGAAAACTTTAATGGGGTTGGGGTGCATATGGGAGGAAAATATAGAGAACGCTGTCCAAGCATTTTCTCCTTTTGGCCCGATTATGTTAAGAAATAATGTTCTCATCATCAAGGATGTGTTCACTTGGGGAAGAGAATTTGGGGAGAGTGAGTGGATGGATTTGAGAGTGAATTAATTGTTGTTTGTTTGAGTGGATTTGGAGGTAAGTGAGAGTGAATTTGAGAATAAAGTTTATGAAAATTAGCATAAGATTTGATTGATGTGAAAAAAAATTTGTTTAATTGGTAGAAATTGAAGATTACCAAAATAACCCTAGTTATTAAAGTAATATAAAATGATAATGATTAATGTTATATTTAATTGTAAAAATATTTATAAAGAGTAAAAAATTAACATTAATTATTAAAATTAATTTTAATATTGTACACAAATTTTATTTTAGTAAAATGAATTTATTTTTAATAATTTAATAAATTGAAATAATAATAATAATAATAATATTTATTATTATTATTAGTTGTATATAATAATAATATACAAGGGAGTGAGTCTCAGTTTCTTGCATCTCATCATCGTTTTCACCAATCATGGAAGTTATCTCATAAATGAATAGTTTCATGTGCAAAGCCACGAGAAAGGATAATATTGTAAAACTTCATTCTTTACCTGCAAATCTCCTCTTCTCTGCGAAGATAGAATCTCTCTTCAATCCCGCAAATCTTCGCTCGTATTTACTCTCAAATCGTTGCAAACGAACAACCATGTCACTCGCATATCCGTCTTTCTTAACAGTAAATCCTTCCATACGAATACAGTCGAAAAGTTTGAAGGAATAATGTTTTCATAGTTATATATAGAAACTCGATGTTATCAGTTGCGATATATTTTATTTATTGATAATACTGCTTTTTAATCAGACTTAAAGATAACCTTTTGATAGTTAACCGTGTAATTTTTTTTACACAAAAATATGTATATTTGTAATAATTATTTGAAAAAGTCACATGATAATGTTTTTATCAGTTAACCATATAAAACCTTTTAAGTGGAAGGCACATGCAAATTAAACTTTGTTTTTAAACTCAAAAAGTCAAATTGTAGAAAACAACAATACTATTATGCAAATGAAAGCTTATGTAACATTTAAATCTAGCTTAATTCTGGTTATAATGTCACGGTTCCAAAACCCAACACAATCCTAGCAGGTACATGTATCTAATTTTAAACATGCCTTTACTATGTAATTTTAAACATTAACTTATTTTTATTATAAAAAACAGAACTATTTTCTTGACTTCTTTGAATGAAGCGCACCTACTATCTTAAAGCAAATTTTAAGTAGGATTCAAGATGCTGAACATAGTACACAAGTTTTGAACTTCAGTTTTCATGACAAAATATTTGTGTGAAATACAACGTTTTCTAAATTCATGACTTTGTGTGTTCCAACCACATTCGACAGAATATGGAAATAACATTTGAAGAAGATAATGATTCCTACTCTTTACTGGTCCTACCATGGTACAATAATTCCATTAAAAAAAATCAAGAAGTCAGCATCAGAACCAATATCATAAAGAATATACATACATGAAATTAAGTTAGTTTACCCTAATTACGAGAAATAATTTATAAAACGTTTAGTTAATGGAAACATTTGAGATGTCGTGAATTCCAAGATATCCACCCAATTCATCTCATCTATAAATAAAGGATCAATGTGAGAGCATAATAACTTGAGATTCAAGAACAGCCAAAATGGGTTCCATGCGTGTAGTACTAGTGGCAGTGTTGTGTTCATTTGCTTTGCATGCAGGGTTTTCTGTAACTAATGCTCAGCTTAGTCCTACGTTCTACAGAACAACATGTCCAAATATATTCAATATTGTGTTTCAAGTCATCTTTCAAGCTTCCACCACCGATCCCCGAATTGGGGCCAGCCTTCTCAGGCTTCATTTTCATGATTGCTTTGTTCAAGTACGTACTTGTTTTTTCAGAACATTTATCATTGTTTTTGACTCTTCTTTTGTTGTCCAAGCCACTGTGTTTGTTAATTACTAAAAATGTTTTTTTTTGAGAACCTTATTGGTTTGAAAAATAATCAGAGGAGATAAAGAAATAACAACATTTCGTGTTTTTTTATCATGAGTACAGGATATAGATATTCTGTCAGAAAAGAGAAATCTCAATAATGACAATAAAAAGCTATGGTCGATATCTTAAGGTGAGAAATGATGAAGCTGTTATATTCTTGACAGGGTTGTGATGCATCAGTTTTGTTGAACAACACTGCTACCATAGAAAGCGAGCAAGATGCAATTCCAAATAACAATTCAATAAGGGGCTTGGACGTAGTCAATAACATCAAGACAGCGGTGGAAAATAGTTGTCCAGGGACAGTTTCTTGTGCTGATATTCTTGCCATTGCAGCTGAAGTAGGTTCTGTTCTGGTAAGTCCAAATTCCCAATCATTTACTTAACATATATATATATATATATATATATATATATATATATATATATATATATATATATATATATATATATATATCTTATTTTTATTATATATTTTTTAAGCAACAAAAACAAGTGAAAGCAAGTCATCTTATTTAGAAACTGGTCATAGAAATGTTCTCCGTTCTCTTGTGCCTTTTTTTAAATGCTTATGAAACATTTGTTGGAAATAATCGAGTTTAAGTTTTGTATTAATGACACTTAAAAATGACGTTATTCATTAACTAGAAAATAAATTCAATGAAATTACGACACTTAAAAATATCATAATTCAAAATATATTACAACATTTATAAATATTATATTATAAATAATTCTTTAACAAAATATTCTATTATTTATTATTATCCATTATATTTATAATTTCATAATTCAATAATATTTTATTATTTATTATTATCCACCTACATGTATAATTTCACAATTCAATATATCTTTTCTTAATAATGACAATTTAAATTATATACATAAATTAGAAAACCCAGTGTTAATGTCATAACTCATTTAAAACGCACCCAAAATCCCT